GGGGAAAGGGGGGCCCGCCGCGCCCCCCCCCCGGGCTGGCTCCCTGCTGCCGCCGCGGCCGCTTCTTTTTTATTCTTCTTTTTTAATTATTATCCTTCCTCCTTTTCTTTTCTTTTCTTTCCTCTTGGACTTGTTGTTCCCTGCGCGGATGACAGCTGCTCCCCACTACGCATGCGCACGCGGAGCAGGCACCCGGCCGGAGCGGAAGCGCGGCGGAGGAAGGGGGGGCACGTGACGCAGGAACCCTTTTAACTCGCGTCACGCGATCACGGAGGGAGTGTGAAAGCAGCCGGCTGCGGCTGTCCTTCCGGGTAGGGCGGGTGCGCATGCGCGTGGTGGGGGAAAAAGAGCGAGCAGCCCGGAAAGGAGGAGATGGGGGGGGGGCTGGCTCGTGACGTCACAAGGGGCGGGGCTTGGCGCTCGGCAGCTGGGGCTCCCGGGTGCCCACGCCACCGCGGGGAGTTCTTGCAGCTATGCTCGCCCGGCCGCTGTCAGGGCGATGTAACCTCCGTGTCTGCTACAGCAGTCTCTCTCGGCTCGTGGGGCTCGACCCCAAAGTGAGTCTCAAGAATATATGAAAGGGTCACAGACAAACTTCAACAACGGATTCTCCTTTACAAGACAAAAACGTGGGAAACCGCAGCTTTTCCCTTGCAGCCTGCCAGAGCTCCAGCCTGCCAGGGGCTGGTGGGGACCCCCTCTCTCACACACTGGGAGAACTGGGTCGGGACCGGCCATCGATATTTGCAAATGCGTCCTGGGACAAGAATGGTTGAGAAGCACTGTGCTATGTGAATGTTCATGCTGCGCACCTGAAAACTACTTGCTTCAAATATGCTTAATATTTTCTCTGACCTCTCTCACTCTGAACTGACTTAACCAATATGTGTGTAGAGGGGTTAAGTAGGGCTGCCAACTCTGACTGAAGCTATTCTGGGAATTTTTTTTTTCCAGCATGATACAACGTAATTAATTATACTGTTCAAAACATGCACACTATCAATCTCCTGGATTGCTTTCATAGTCACTGGGAGATCATTGCCGATTCCAGTAAATTCCTGGCCTGTCCAGGAGGGTTGGCAACTCTAGGGTTAAGCCATCTTCAGCTCAATTGTAGGTGCCTAGAAACACAGAAGTTTCCTCTCTCCAACCTTCCCTACCTTACTGACTGGTTCTCCATCTGAGTGCAGCAGGCCCTGGTGGGAAGGATGTCACTTTATGATAGGAGGAAAAAAATAAACTCAAATCCTATTTTAGCCTCCTTCTTTTGTGATCTCCCTTATACTAAAATATTTTAGTCAGAGGTGTAATGAGCCCCTGCAGTGCCTGGGTGAGGGGAGGTACAAGATATGCCAACCACTGGAGAGCCAGGGTGGGGGGAGATGAGGGGAAGGGAAAGGAAACCAAATTTCACCCGCTCCTCTGCTCTCTCCAGAGCAAAAGCAGCAGCTCCTGCTGCTGCTGCTGCTATAGCAGTGTTGACTTGGGTGGCAGCAGCCCAATAGCTGGGCTCCTCGGAGCCATACCTGATGCTCCATTCACTTCCTCTGCCCCCAACTACGGTCAAATATGTTATGGGTGTAGAGCTACACCTGCTGTGGCAAAGACTCTCCAGCGGTGGAGGAGCTTTTAAAATGTCAGAGCTTTTAAAAGTTCAAACCAAACTCAGGCAATCGTTTACTTTGATCTAACAAAGTTACAGCCATCTGTAACCATCTGTTTAGTAGAACAGGGGTGGGCATCTGCAGAATGTGTACCACAAGTGGCATCAGCAGTGCATGTGGAATGCAACAAAGTCAGGAAGGGGATAGGCAGTAAACCAAGCAGGGAGCAGAAAGCAGAGCAGCAGATCCAAATGAGATTGGAGTGGCACTCAGGGATGAATTTGTCATTGTATATAAAGCAGGTTGCTTATTTGTGTATGTCACAGTTATGTGTATATGGCTTAAGTCCTACAGTGTAGTGTGGTATAGCAAACCTATTTTTGGAAGTTCTGGTACTAAATGTAGTTCTTATTGACTTTTCCAAAGCACTGCTGTAATAAAATAACACATTCAGAAGGGAAAACAGCATCACTTTCTAAATGTCTTATCACCAGGGATCCTGGTTTTCTCTGTTTAAAGATCCCATATACTCTGATTTAAAAAAAAAATCAACATTCTCTAATTTAAAACCCCCAAATTCGTGTTTTTCCATTATTAAAATTAAATGCTACTAATATCTATATCTATAGCTATATCTAGATAGATAGATAGATAGATAGATATATAGCTATATATATATACAGGCAGTCCTCGGACTTACGACACAATTGGTTCCTGAAAACCACCTAAGTCAAAACGTCGTAACTCGGAACCAATTTTCTCATAAGAAACAATGTTATAAATGGGGGATTGGTTCCTGAACCAAGGCCCAATACCCTGTTTTCATCAAAAATACCCCAGAATTTTGTCCTCAATCAATTATAGATGAGTAATATAGCCACATTAATGTATTTATGTTGTAAATAGCAATCACATTGATTTGGAAGGACTTCTTTGAGTTGACTCTGCTAGACTTTTTGAAAGGCTCTTGGTTGGACTTTTTGAAGGGGTCTTGGCTGGAATCTTCTCAGGAGTCTTGACTGCAGATTTTTCTGGATTCTTGTCTGCTTTCTCAAAGAAAGTGTCCAAGGAAGTTTGGACAGATGTTCTCCAGGGAGATGAGTGATGCAGCGAACTTGTTCACTGGCATGGCGTCGCATCGGATCAAGTGTTGTAAAGTCGAAACTGACATCATAAATTTGAAACAGGTGTCAATTTATAAACATAAGTGCAAAACGTTGTAGCTTAAAATGTTGTACGTCAAGGACCGCCTATATATATAGGTATATATATAGGTATCAGTTGAACACAATGTTTTAGTGATATATTTACAATTTTAAAGCAATTTTGAAGCCTATCAGTGCCTTAATCATTATAATAAAATAAATTCTAAAAACCTATATATTTTGGCATTTCATTTTGGTTTTCTTATCATGGAAAGTAAGAACTCCCTCTGCCCCCTTCTCTCATCAAGAGGCGGCTCCAACTGTCCTCCCCCCTCCTCACCCTGCTGCTCTGTGGTGCTAAACAACCTTGATATGCCTGTGCCTCCCATTCCCAAGCCAGTGCCCTTCACTCCCAACCTGCACCCTTTGTCCCTGCCAGTGCTCCTCACTCCCAGCCCACAGCCCCTGACCCTCCAGCCCTGCCCAAAGGGGCCCACAGATGCCAGGGCTATAGGACCTAGCGGCTGCATCCTGGCCATTCCTTGCTCTGCGGGTACCAGCTACGGGCATGACCTTCATAGGCAACAACATACTTTGTTATATGACACAGGTCTAAAGGGAAGTCAGAAAGATCTTCTTGTCCTGCCTTCTGCCTGATTTCAGACTAATGTGAATTATTATCTCTTTCTTCAGATTGTGTCAAAGATCCAAAGACAACATCCAAATTCAGTGATATCATGGCCTTTGCCATGATATTAATTCTCAAATGCCTTTCCTCTAGGAATTTTGTCTGAATATTTTAGCCTCAAACAAGTGTTCATTTCTAGGAGTGGAGATTTCTCAAAAATTTCCACTTTTAGAAACCATTCCAGGAAAGGGAGCAGTACAGGTGCTCAGCCTGTAGCTGCCCCTTCTCCCTTGCTCTCTGTGCCTTCCCCTGACCAGGGATACGTCTGGGGAAGGTGTGGGGAATAGCAATTGCTCCACTCCTTCCTGGGGGATTGGAGTAGTGGGGCATAGCTCCCCACTTGCTGGGGACTCCCAGTCTGGCTGCTGTCCCACAGCAGGGCAAAGCAATGGGGCTGCAGGCACCAATTTTGAACATGCTGCATGGGGGGAAGTTCCCTTGTATGCAGGAAGTTCAAAGTCAGTGGCATCCCAGTCCCTAAGAATACAATGGAGGGAGCAGTTGTGGAGAAAACGCAGCAGGCACTGTTCCCCTCCCCTTCCAGACCAGATTGGGAGGGGAATGTACAAGCATTCTCTCTTGTGACAGAGTTTCTCTCACAAGGAAGATCTTTCTTTTAGGAGGTGCGTGTTTCCCCTAGGAGAAACTGAATGAACACTTGCGTGCTTGTAGCTTTATCCGGGATCATTGCTATTCTCCTGGTAGAAATGTAACACCTGTATGTAGCCTAAGATTATTCCAGTTCCTCCAGAAGTTTTCTCCTCAACTAACCTGTATCACTATCTTGAGTAGAATAACTGATTATCACCTTAAAAATGTGACTAATTTCTGCCACTGTAAAACACTTAATATAAGTCTAAATGGGTCCCTAAATGGGACACACTGTTTTTGTCCCCATCACTTTGGGGATTGCCATGATGTGACAATAGCATAGGACAGTTTATAGTGTACAGCTGTCAAATACCTTACTAACCAGTGACTGCATCCATTATGAATACCTCTTAGAAACATCACTAACTTATTTGCTTAATCTGTCATTAGCAAAAGTTTTGCAGTGAGACAATCCCTATACAAATATTTGAGCTCCCTGAGCTCACCAGTATAAAGACTTGCAGGAAAAGACCCATCTCCTTTACAAGAGAATATGAGCTGTCTGGTGTAGGTCTTGGGGCAGTGAGTCTCAACCAGGGTTCCATGGCCACACAATGCTAGCACTGTTTGGTGTGTGGAACCATGGTTCACAATATAAACCCAGAATTTGCAAATAGGAATCTATAGTGTCAAAAGCATTCAGACCTCTCGTGGTCTTTCCGAGCTATGCAACAGAAGAATTGCTTTATTATTGTTCTGTAGTCAAAAAATGAGTGAAAGCTAAGAGCTGGCCTTTTTCAAAGTTGCAAAAGGTTGAGAACTACCACCTTAGGGCAATGAGCTAAAAACAAATACAAGATCCAAATGTTCCTGCCATATTGCGAGAAAACAACAGATGGCAGTGCTGAAGTAGTAAACAATATAGCAGGTCTAAAGTAAAACAGCCACTGAC